TTTTAATAGTGCATTTTGTAGCCCTACCTTTGTAGTAGACAATAATACAATGTCATCTGCATATTGTAGACAGTTAATATATTTACCATCTAAGTCTGGTGCTGGCATTTCAATATTTGACAGTCCTTCAATAAAGTCATTCATAAAGATGTTAAACAATGTGTTTCCAGCGGGTAGTACCCCCTAGTATAACACCGAACACCCAGTTGTCGGCACCGAATCCAACCTACGATACTACTAGTACTACCCGAGCATATCCACGCCTTACTGTAAACGAGTACAAGTCGATAACAACCGGCGATTCTCGAAGATCGGCGGGCGAAGATGAAAGAATACGATTCCTCACGAAACGATACAGTGACAAGCTGTGCTATCGATCAAGCTCTGTTTGTGTCCGTCACTGGTGAATTCAACGTGTAGTGAATAACGTCAAATGATAATACCACAGGGAGCCCAGGAACTATAATCAACTGTAATACGCAGTCTCTATGAGCGGGGGGGGGGGGGGTATCCTGGGCTCCCTGTGATCGAATGAGGCATTGTCGGATCAAGAGGGGCAGCTTCTCTGCGATTTACGCTCCGTATATCTTAATCGAAGCTTGGACCCCCCAATACATTTTGCTGGATCCGCCACTGGACTGGGGGGTCCTTGAAGTTTCAATAGTGGAACAGAATTTGTTTCATCGGAGCGCTTTGTTTAAACTATCTACGCCTGCATCGCTTAGGAATCAGATGGGAATCAGAAGTGACTGAATGTTTACAGTCGACACCTGTGAAACTGGGACCAGTTCAGTACCTCGTAAAACCATTTAGTGATTAGCCAAGTTGATTCGCCAAAGAACCGTTATAGGATTGTGCCACCTCAGTTCACTTGTAAACTTCTATGATTTATTAAACTCGTTCCAATTTGACGGGCATGCATATATTACATGACATTTATAGAAATAGAATAGAATAGAATAGAATAGAATAGAATAGAATAGAATAGAATAGAATAGAATAGAATAGAATAGAAATAGAATAGAATAGAATAGAATAGAATAGAATAGAATAGAATAGAATAGAATAGAATAGAATATTTTGCTTATTTCGCTGACTGGAAAATGCGCTAAATTAAAACCCAGTGAATATGTAAAATTTAGCATAGAACACAATATCTAAATGATAAAACCGTGAATTTAAAACCCACTGAATATGCCTGAAATTTTACAGTAGTCAAAACAGGATCACGTGTTATCTGCGAAATTAACATAGTCACGCCAGGGAAATTACTAGTTCCCTAGGGAGACTAGTACATCAACTAGTGCCCGGGGATGACGTCATTCGTCACCTCATCGTGTGATTTCCAATATGTCGTCTGCTAGTTCGGTCGCTGATATCGATGGTCCGCCTCGAAAGACTGGACGATTTTAGAAGAAGAACTTGACACACTAGTAGAAAATAAAGATGCAACGAAGACGAAGGACGCAATCGGGTTTTCTAGAAGCGTCTTTACATCGTTTTGTGAAGAAATCGGGACATCGCTAGCAGACGTCGAGAAGAAGACGGCAGACGATTTATGTACGTTTCTCCGGTAATTCTACGTGCAATGTGTAATAAAACACATATTGCATGGCCTAATAGTACTATCCATACGTATCATTTCGTAAAGATGGAATAGAGATTTAGCAATACCTGCATATTTGTAAGTTATTATTCAAAGGAATTGGTATTGTCAATAATCAGCCCTTTAGTTCAGTAGCCAAAATATTGTATCGTGTTTATTGGTGACATTCTAATTATCGATATCGATTATCGACAGTATTTACAGTCACTAAGAAAACAATAAAATTTTCTATTCAGCAAAAATGATATATTGATATATATGACTGAATACGATTGTATATATAACACCCCCAGATGTGTTCGTTCGTACAAATATTTTAATTTTATTTTCTTATTTCTTGGTTATTTTTGGTACTTCAAATGGCGTTGGTGCATTCAGTATACAGCAGGGCGCTTCTTTGCCCATATTTGAACTGAAAATACTCTCCTTCCCCCATATGTGAACTGAAACTATTCTCCTTTACCCATAATTTCTACTGAAATATCCTCATTTGCCCATGTTCGTATTGAAAATACTCTCCACCGCCCATGTTTGAACTGAAAATGCTCTCATTCGCCAATATTTGCACTGAAAGTATCTCTCTTCGCCCATATTTGCATTCAAAATACTCTCCTTCAAGTTCACACATATGTGAATTGAAACTACTTTCCTTTGCCCATATTTTCTACTGTAAATACTTTCCTTCGCACATATTTGAACTGAAAATGTCTTCCTTCGCCCATATTTCTACTGAAAATATTCCCATTCGCCAATATTTGCATTGAAAATAATCTCCTTCGCTCATAATTAAACTGAAAATGTTCGCAAATATTTGAACTGAAAATATCTCCCTTCGCCCATATTTCTACTGAAAATATCCCCATTCGCCTATATTTTTTACTGTAAATACTGTTCTTTGCCCATATTTCTACTGAAAATATCCTCATTCGCCCATATTCGTAATTAAAATCTCTCCTTTGCCCATATTTGTTCCGAAAATATCCTCATTCGCCAATATTTGCATTGAAAGTACCTCCCTTCGCCCATATTGTACTGAAAATACTCTATTTTTCCCATATTTCTACTGAAAATATTTTCCTTCGACCATATTTGCATTCAAAATACTCTCCTTCAAGTTCGCACATATGTGAACTGAAACTACTCTCATTTGCCCATATTTTTTACTGTAAATACTCTCCTTTCTTGCCCATATTTGTACTGAAAATATCCCCATTCGCCAATATTTGCATTGAAAATACTCTCCTTCGCCTATAGGTGTATTGGAAATACGCTCCTTCGCTCGTATTTGAAGTGAAACTATTCTCTTTCGCTTATATTTGCATTGAAAATACCCTTCTTCGTCCATATCCGCGTTGAAAATATATGCATTTTATAGTCTCACTGGGTAGGACAGTATATACCGACCCAGTTTACACTAGAAATAAAATGCACTGAATATAACTAATCTCGCTCGCACGGTTTCGCACTCGTTCAAAAATCCTTCTCTCCATGAATATAAATTAGCCAACGACACCGGTCGGCGTCTCAAAATATGTTGGCACAAATTAATAACCATATCCTTAATAGTAATGATCGACATTTCTAAAATTCAACATGGTGCTTTGTTCCGCACTGGAGTCATTGGTCAGGAATCTAATAACCCAATAACCATCTCGCAATTATGTTAATTAGATTGATTGGGTGTTGTATGGATGACATGCAGAAATACAACAATTATTAGGTTCTTATCTGAAAAACATTTTTTGTTATTGCAGATTTTTTCTTTGTGGTATTCACTAACTAATTAACAAATAGATTTATCCCAAAAAATATGGGAGTGAAAAAGAAAAATACTTTGATACGTTTTATTTGATTTTATCTGTACTAGTACATCGTTTCTGTGTTAGTTATGTGATACATACATTGTATATGTTTTTTTATTCGTTATGACATCGTTATTGTACAAGCTTGGCGATCACCACCACCATTTCTTTATACAATGTCTGCATCTCTCGATCCGTTTATACATTTGAAATTAATTAATCCAAGACACTGACAGTATCATTCAACAGCTTATCACAGGTTATATACCGGTATGATATTACCGTCCATTGTCTACTTTTGGTGCACGATGTTTGTTGAGAATGGCACAGAGCTGACAGTGTCGCCGTTTCCACGGCATATAATATCAGCTTCTGGATGGTTGGACTGTTCAACTTGAATGCTTGCAGTATAAAATACTTGTACGTATTAGAAACGCCACAAATAGCGTGATTTTACAGATATATAAACCCACTGAAAGATCGGTGTTATGTTAGATGCAACCTTCATGTGGTCATGTCACGTGACTGAAACGTAAATGAATAATTTAATGAAGATTCAAATGAAGAAAGAAATGACCCAATTTCAGTTTTTGGAAAATGTAGAACAAAACAATAAGAAACATAACAGTCACAGTGTATTCTTTTCTAAATGTTTATTTTTGAATTTCCATCAACAAATTTCGTGTGTTTTTCAAATTCAGATAGTGAAATCCCTAGAACGTGTAAATTTACCAAAAATAGCTGACTCCCCGCGGAGTTGTACTCATTTAACTGATGTCAGTATTAGTTGCTGCGTAAAATTTTTAAATGGTCATAAAATCTTTAAATTTTTTGATGTCCAGTAAAATGTAGATGATTTGTATGTATCTAAATATGTTTTAACATTATTTCACGTTTGACTGTGTAATTTAATAATAATTTTAAATGCACGCATTATGGAAATTTAGTCACAATAACAGTGTGGTTTGGTAATATTGACCATTGAGTTATGTATGTTCCATTTATGATAAAGCTCTGAAATGATGTTCATAGAATAATACGATATACCTGTGGATTGTATGAAGTATAAAAATCATTTTGATTAAAGGGCGGCAGTCATCGAGCCGCGCCCTGTTCGATATGGGACTCATAGCGACGTACACAACGCATGTAAAATACATTTTGTGTTTACTTGAAAATCGAACACGCGCTGCGCGACGACCACCGCGCTTTAGCATTTGCCAACACACTTTACTAATTCCTTCAGTTAATCCATTATACTTGTCTCTGCGGCGCTGTTTTGTCAACATACTAGTAGTCGTCAGAGCGTTTGTGTTGACTGCGTTCACCGTTGGTGGCGTTCTCCTAGAACCTTGAACTGTTCGTTGACAAATATGACACTGTTTCCTATACTATTTTTGATGTATCTACGATTTTTTTTTCAAATACACCATACAGGAGACTATATATAGATATGAAAACGTCGTGAAACAGTTCCAGGGAACATTTATCTGAACGTGCCACAACAAAGTAAGTAATTTCGCATTGTTGTGCATCTATCACTGATTCTCCAATCGGTAGAAAGCACGACAGGTGTTATTGTCGCCGAACCAAACAGCGTTGCCAATGGCATCAGATAAAAGCACGGTAATTTATTCTAATTGCAAATGCACAATTACTGACGCGTTGTCACCACGTGGCAGTATTCGTTACAGGTTGCCGGTGCAACATGTCTTTCTATCGACTGTTACGCTTTACAATATCTGTAATAATATTGTTTGACATTACTGCGTCTTTGGACCTTTCCCAAATGTGAGTAATTTCCTCAGCGTTTCATGCAATAATAAATTTGTTCTAAACACTGAACAGAACGGAACTGTTCAGCAATCTTAGTTCGGATATCGAAACTTTCAGGTTGTTGGCAAAGTTGAATCAATGCAGTTGCACATGTGAACGTCGAAAAAAATACATTCCTCGCCCGAAACATCACGTCTGTTAAAAATTGTCGGCGATTTGCGTATGCAGTACGTGTCTTAGTTTGGACACTCCACCTACTGCATGGTGAAATTTCTGCAGCACACTGCTATTCGACGTATTTTGACAATTTTCTTGTGACAAGTTGAATTACGCATTCCTGTATGAAAACATTACGGTTTCAATTCGGTTGCATTTCACTTTCAAATTGAAAGTTGAAAGCTACACTGTTAGTTAGGGTACACAAATAAAGGGGACAGTAAAAAGTAAGTCTTTTCAATTAATCGGCTTTTTGTTGCAACTATCCCTTGCCATTGAATCTTTAATGGATGTATGATATAATTATTTGTTTCAGTAACGAAGATGCGCTTATAAATGAACTTGGAACTCTACGAAAAAGACATTACAACCTGCAAAGTAAGACCGCGTCATGAATTTCAACGTACAACAAAGTTGAACAACCAAAATTTGACGGAGTATGTCGATGTGGTCTCAAGTGGGCCCCGAAATATACACGTGTACCATGTATTCTATGTGGAATCCCACACTTGTATTGGAAGGACATTTTACAATGGCGATTTCATTCTTGTGTATTGAAACACGCTTTCGATATTTAACATTTTCATCTGGAGTCTACTTTGGGTTGTTGGTGCCAACTGCAGTACACTGTAACCTCAATATAATGAACACCGTTATAATGAATTTCCTGATATAATGAACACGTTGCGTGTCTCCTGTTCACACAAACCCAATGTAGGGCTAATCTGCACTGGCTCGGAAGGTTGTAAATGATCAGCTAGTTTGAATTTGCATAACAATACTGACAATGAACGTGCATTCAACGCCACAAGTTTTTTTGTTTTTTTAGCCAATCAGAATTCATCTTCCGAGCCAGTGCAGATCAGCCGCCAATGTATTATGTGCTTCATTATAACATTTCACTATAACAAACTAATAGGTGATTTTCCGTACAATTGCGAGATCTCGCGAGATGCATGAAAGACGCGCGTCTGCCGCAAAAATCGAACGATTTGATTTTGAACTCGAATTTCTTTGTTTCGTAGCTCACATCGACCGGCCGATCTTCGACAGAGGAATAATATTGCTTCCGAATACCCTCACTTAATCGAAATTGCCTATCATCAAATGTGGACAGCACATTATTAAGCATGGAAATGTCCCCAAAATACTTTCGCGTTTGTCGAATCCCACGCGATGTTTGACGCCACTACGACGCTATGACCTTTGTTTGTCCTGTTTTTACGTTCGATTTCACGCATAACGCGTGATTCTCGCAGTGAACGGAAAATGGTCTATTGTATGTCCCCAAAGAGTTCGTTATAACGAAGCTACAGCTACATATTTGATGAAC